CTCGATCCCAGGACCCTGGGATCATGACCTGAGCTGAAGGTAGACGCCTAACCGACTGAGCCACACAGGCATCCCAATACACTTATAACTTGATGACCTATGGGCTAAGGGTAGATTACATGATTTAAGAATAACCTCTGTGCTTTAGATGTTCTCTCAAGATTTCAATAATTAACAACTCACCAAGGCAGTAGTCTGTAATTTCAATATACCTAATACTATCCCAGAGTTTGCACAAATGACATAAATATAGGATTTGAGTTTTCATTTTTAGGAGTCAAAGTAGTAGTTGGTAAATGCTAAAGAACGTTGGTGAACCAGTAGGACCCAGGTAACTCTCATAAGCCAAGACCTTTAGGTGAATTGAAGACGTGAAATTTTGTCATGGAGGGTGCACCTTCCAATTAATGTGATGCCTAAAAAGGAAATTGAGTTGTAGAAGTTTAAATGGGGAAACAGATTCTTTCTCTAAAACTAATAGGCTGTGCCATTCTTCAAAGCCTGACACCTAGGTATTTCGGACTCCTATGCTAGCTGGGTTCTGGGTAGACTGCCCATGGAAGTACTCAAGGGAGAGAGAAGATGGGAAGACGAGGCCGGCTTGTTTTTGTCAGTGGCGACAGCGGGAAGGGAAGGGGGAGGCGGGTCGAGGCTCGAGCTCCACAGCAGAGGTGCTCATCCTAGTAGCTCTGGCAGGTTCAATAGGAGTGTGAGCTCTTGGGATCTAAATAACCACCTTCCTCCTTGACTCCTCTGGCCCTGCCAACAAGTTTGTAACCAGTTCCCTGTATTAAATCCTCCCCTGTTTGAAATATCTAGAATGACTTCTCTTTTCCTGATGAATACAGTCTCTAAAGAAATTGAGGAGGCTCTGATAGGTTATGTGACTTGCCCATACGCACACAGCAATGCTCTTGAGTGGCACATTTATTTTACTGTTAGTAAATAAATCTAGATACTACTGAAAGTATTTACAGTGTGGCAGTAGTCTTTTTAAAAAAGAGAGGGGTGGTTTTAAGAAATGTTACCTAGATGCCACACAAATAATATGTGGATTACCAGTTTTCAAATGTGATTCAGAGTTTGGTTTTTTCCCCTGATTTAGAAGCTAAGTGATACCTTGTGGTTCTACGATCATTTATTGCCTATAGACTAGCTGTAGAAAGTATAGGATATTGGCATATGACCCTGTGATGAGTCCTAGAACTTACTTCTTAAAATTTTCATCATTTGGGTTGTGGGGGGCTTCTTTATAATAACAGGGGCTTGTAGAGATTTACTTGGTAGACTTCTGTAGTGTGGCTTTTCTACTTGCTGAAATTGTTTAGATCATTGAAGAATGCAATATATTTCTGATGAATAACTGACTGGCCAATTTGAACTTCCTTGGGTGGCCAGGAATAGATCAGGTACTTGAATTCTGATTTGTGGACCATATTACTAAATTGTCATTGTATTTTATCTTGTAGTTTTTTATAATAGAAGAATCTTATTTGAGTTTTCTTTACCTTTAATAATCCTGTCTTAAATCTAAAGAGACCTAGGTGGGGTTTTGTTTGTTTGTTTGTTTTAAAAGATTTTATTTTTAAGTACTCTCTCCACCCAATGTGGGCTTGAACTCAAAACCCTGAGATCGAGGGTCACATGTTCCACTGACTGAGCCAGTCAGGCGCCCCTGAAGAGGTCTAGTTTTTAAAAAGTGCAAATCTTTTTAACAGACAGTAATTTTAAATAGTAGTATTCCATTCATACTGTAATTGCTGCTTTCACATATTAAAATTGCCCCTAATATAGTCAGTGGTATTGTGATAGCATTATATGGTGACAGATGGTAGCTACACTTAAACCGTGAGCATAGCATAATGCATGGAGTTGTCAAATAAAATATGTTGTACACCTTTTGAAACTAATGTAACATTGTGTGTCAACTGTACTTCGATTAAGAAAAATAGTAATAAAATAAAATCACCCTAAATAAAATATACTAAACTTAGAAACTAAATTAACGTTTCAGGCTGTAGTTGAACTTTTAATGTTGATTTCTCAAGTTTGACAATCTGGAATTTATAACCTAAAACGGTGTTTTCTTCTGTTTTTCTTTCTAAAGCTCTTTCACCATGCCTGGGTCACTTCCTTTGAATGCAGAAGCCTGCTGGCCAAAAGATGTGGGAATTGTTGCCCTTGAGATCTATTTTCCTTCTCAATATGTTGATCAAGCAGAGTTGGAAAAATACGATGGTGTAGACGCTGGAAAGTATACTATTGGCTTGGGCCAGGCCAAGATGGGCTTCTGCACAGATAGAGAAGATATCAACTCTCTTTGCCTGACTGTGGTTCAGAATCTGATGGAGAGACATAGCCTTTCGTATGATTGCATTGGGCGTTTAGAAGTTGGAACAGAGACAATCATCGACAAATCAAAGTCCGTGAAGACTAATTTGATGCAGCTCTTTGAGGAGTCTGGGAACACAGACATAGAAGGCATAGACACAACGAATGCATGCTATGGAGGCACAGCGGCTGTCTTCAATGCTGTTAATTGGATTGAGTCCAGTTCTTGGGATGGTATGTTACATGTTACTCCAAGGAAACTCTCCAGGAAACATACATAGGCCCAAATGACCTTTCAGTGAATGCCCCATGCAGACTTACCAGTTAGGCTTGTTTGAGTATGGTCAGAAATGTAGCTCTTTCAACTTAACCTGAATTATAAACTGGTTATCTTTATCACATAGGACAAAATTATAAAAATTTAGAATTTTTTTTGCTTTGCCAAAGATGGGAAAGCATATTCTAGGAAAATAGAAGACTTCAGTGTATATGTATGATACTTCTAGTGGTGATCGCCTTCTTGTGTATTAACAAAAATCTTTTTCAGGACGGTATGCGCTGGTAGTTGCGGGAGATATTGCTGTATATGCCACAGGAAATGCTAGACCTACCGGTGGAGTGGGAGCCGTTGCTCTGCTGATTGGGCCAAATGCTCCTTTAATTTTTGACCGAGGTGAGTGTCTGGGAGAGCATTTCTTTTTTTTACTAGCAACGTATGCTGAGAAAGTTGAAAATACAAACAGAAGCTAGTACTTACTGAGTGTTCATTAAATGCAGGCACTACCTGCTCAGTGGTTTGTATGTGCTCTAGCGTGTTTGGTCTTTATAGCAATTTTATGAGGTAAGTCATGTCATTCTCATCTTACAGAGCAGTAAAATGGGTTTGAGTAATAAAGAGTAACTTGCCCACAGTCACTCATCAGCGACAAGTTTAATTTGTTTTCAGTTCAGTAGAGTAATTGTGATCTCCCAGTTAGAGATAGGAAACTTGCATAAAATGTTGTGTATCAAAGGAGTCTTAGGCCTGTCCTGGATACTGTTAGGTTTCATTTCAATTACATGTCGGTTTCACCTTGTGATTTCCATGCTGCAAGTGGCAAGAGTTGACCAGAGAGTTTAGGAAAGTCCCTAGATAATGCAATCAGCTGACTAACATACAGTCATCAAGGAGCAGAAATAATGTCATCTTCCTTTTTCGTTCTAATAGGACTTCGTGGGACACATATGCAACACGCCTATGACTTCTACAAGCCTGATATGCTTTCGGAGTACCCTATAGTAGATGGGAAACTCTCCATACAGTGCTACCTCAGTGCGCTAGACCGCTGCTATTCCGTCTACCGCAAGAAGATCCGTGCCCAGTGGCAGAAGGGTGGGTTTCATCCACGTGCCTTGGTTTGGGTATCTGTTGAGGGGGCAGTGTGGTGTGCTGAGTGTCTTTAGTGAGATGATGCTTTGTGGGCATCCTTCATTAGTGTCCTTGAACTATTTCTTCCTCACCCACCAGATTGCATTTCCCCACAGATTCGGGGAATGTGTAATTTAGGGGTACAAGGAAGCTTTGGAAATGAGGTATATCTATGCAAAAACGCTTATTTAGACTTACCCCAGTTAAAAAAAAAAAAAAATCAAAACTAGGGTAAAAGAAAGTAACTTGAATCATTTTCATCTTCGAGGGAGGTACTTTTACAAGGCTTTAGTTTGCAGCTGTGATAAATAAATTACTGAAGTGACCCCTTTCGTCCCACAGGTTGTTTGCATTTGACCTGTGAATTCATACTTGCTTTTCCAGTATCCTCATTAATCTCTGTCTTTAACCCTGAAAAAGTTCTTAAGATACTCAAAAGGACAGCATTTGAATTAGTGCCATTAAAACACACAGTATCATACAAATTAGGCTTTTTCCGTAGACCAACTTTGCTTTATAGAGGTTGTAAGAGAGGGTTAAAAAAAGTAGTGAATAACGTAATAAGATTCACAGTGGCCCTGGAGAAGAAGCATTCTTGCAGTGTGTAAAATGTCATACTGTTTGCCAGTATTGAACAGGACAGTGATTTTCTAACGTTATTAGGCCCCACAATGAGAAGGACACTCTACCTTGTCTGTGCGTGCTCAACTCACTCAAAAATATCATGAAATCACTTAGCATGCCACAACTTAATGCAGTTTGCTATCTTCTACCCTATTCTATTTCATTTAAAAGAATATCCTAAGGTTAAAAAAAAAAAAAAAACTGGCCCCAACCCACTAACTGAATTACAGACTCTTAAGACTCTGAAGTTTGAAAACAGTGATATTCTATCCCTGGACGTCTTTTTGATACGCATTTTAAGCCCTAGAGATATTTCATTATACAGTATATTTTTGGTTGCTGTTTAAAGATAGAAGAACATCCTAGCTTTGTTCTAAAATCAGACTTCAAAAGTTAGTGTTTTAAATGAATTTCATAATTTCTTTGGTTTTCTCTTTCAGAGGGAAATGATAAAGATTTTACCTTGAATGATTTTGGTTTCATGATCTTCCACTCGCCCTACTGTAAGCTGGTTCAGAAATCTCTAGCTCGGATGTTGCTGAATGACTTCCTTAACGACCAGAACAGAGATAAAAATAGTATCTATAGTGGCCTGGAAGCCTTTGGGTAAGAGAAGTTTATTAGGATTTTTTTTTCTTCTGTGTGTGAATATTTTATCCATCTGTTAAACTGTTCTTTTTATAGATATGAATACTTTAAAAGAATCTTAAACGTCTTCAAGTCTAAGCCATTTATGTCATCAGTGAAGAAACAGTCCCAGAGAGGTGGAAGCATATCTCCATGAATTCTTTAGTCATTTCTACTCATATTTTCGGATTTCGTCCTTTTCGATTTGTTCCCGTTGTCACCATGATAGTAGAGCCCCATGAGTGCCTGGCTGTATTTCCTACGACAGCCTCTGAAATCTCTCCTGCCTCTCTAGCCCCTGTGCCCCATCCCTTCCTGCAGCCGCCAAACTGAAGTCGGCTTTCCTGCTTCTTCCGCATTTCCCCACTTGTAAGGCTCCCTAACGCGCCATGCCTGTTAGACTCATTCTGTCCCTTCTACATCTAGTAAAATTCTACTCAACTTTTTAAGACTCGGCTCCTGCAATATCCTGACTTTTGTAACGAAATAGACATTATGATGGATTTGAAATAGTAGTGTATTCTGTTTGCTGACAACAGAGCTTTTGTGAGTTTATTGACCCATGAGAATGCAGTTGTCTTAACTTGATAAAAAGCTTTGACAAAAAGGACCATGTGTGTGCAACTGTTACATCTTCCCTGATAATCAGCATATTGCTACTTGGCTTTTAATAAATAGGCAAACCGAATCGTACACACAGATTAGAATATTAGTTACATCGGCTAGTATAATAAAAATGTAGTCTTTGAACATTGTAAGATGGCCTTTTTTCTAAATCTTTCAGGGATGTTAAATTGGAAGATACCTACTTTGATAGAGATGTGGAAAAAGCATTTATGAAGGCTAGTTCTGAACTCTTTAATCAGAAAACAAAGGCATCTTTGCTTGTGTCAAATCAGAATGGAAATATGTACACATCGTCTGTGTACGGCTCCCTCGCTTCTGTTCTAGCACAGTAAGTACCTAGTTCCTCTGCCTCCTCTCATCGGGGGCTGTTAGGTTTTGAACGCCAAAGCTGGTGGCAGGCATGTTGGTGGCAGGTCACGGGGTGACATTTTATTTCCAGGTTCTCTAGCCTGCCGTCCATTGACTTAAAGGATGAGTGGGACGAGGCTACAGTTACCCCTGAGTACTTGAGTTCATGCTGGCTTTCCTGGCTGCTCTTTTCATGGTCGTCTTCTTCTTGACTTGCAGTTGAGCTGTAAATCCCTAGTTGACAAAGTAACTTATTTTATGGCGTAGTAACTTTCATAAGCCCCATCATTCCCAAAGAGACAGAAACTCTTGTTTTCAATCTCCTTATTGTAAAGCTTCAGGTCAGCTTCCTAAGGCTACAGGATGAATTTTTACTCCCAACTTCTGTCTTCCCACACATTATAGTTTTGGATCAGTGAGACTTTTTATTGTTCTTTATTTTTATTTACTTATTTGTACAGATTTTATTTATTTATCTGAGAGAGAGAGCGTGCGTGCGTGCACACAAGCTGGGGGAGGGGCAGGCTCCCCGTGGAGCAGGGAGCCCCATGCGGGGCCCGATCCCGCGACCCCGGGACCATGACCTGAGCCGAAGGCAGACGCCTAACGACTGAGCCCCCGGGCACCCGTCGGTGAGACTGTTTCGTAGCTCTTCTTCCCCTACACAGGCACTCGCCTCTGCAGCTGGCAGGAAAGAGGATTGGCGTGTTCTCTTATGGTTCTGGTTTGGCTGCCACCCTGTACTCCCTTAAAGTCACGCAAGACGCCACACCAGGTAAATGCCGACTCTTCCAGCCGGAACGTGTTGGAAACACTCCATGCTGAGTGCTAAGGCTGACTCAGCGGCCTTCTCAGGGGAGCACTGGATTCCGTCCCGTAGAGCGTTACATCTGTGTCTTCATCACTTCTTTCAACACAGCCAGATTTTTACTCTGTACTCTAAGCATCTGCCTTAACCGGGTAAATGGCAGGATTTTGTCCGAGTCAGAATCTCTTCTTTCCTTTTTTCCAAGTCAGAAAAATATATATAATGAGCTTAAAAAATCTTTTGATGGCATTATGTTTGACTTTCCCTTCTTCAGCAAGTAACTTTAATTTTTACCTTTTATCTCATTCGTAAAGCATTTATAACCAGGGGGATGATGCAGGCAGGGAAAGGGAATGTGTCTGTCTAATGCAGGCAGCTGTGGAGTCTGATCATATGAGTGAGTAATACCAAATCTTTCCTTGTTGGTTTGGTTTTATACAAGATATCTAATTTTTATAGATTTACGGTCCTGACCTTATATTCCTGAGCAGGAAGGAGCAAAAACATGGAGAAAAACTGATGGAACACTTGGCATTACATGAAAACTGTGTCATGGATTGACCGTAGACAAGTTATTTATAGTTTCAAATCCCATCTATTTCCTAATTAGTCTACTGGCTGACACTGAACAAATAAATGTCTAGTCAGAGATCATAGGAAGCTGTGCCAAACAGATACCATTTTTTCTTTCGACTAAATAGTATCTGGTAGTTCTATAAGAAATTACAAGTTGTCCTTCCATTTGGCAGCATCCGGTTCAGGTTTTGGGGTATGCTACTTTTGTCTTTTTCTCTTTTTTTCTTTTAGAGAGAGTGTGAGGGGGTGTGGGGAGGGGGACAGAGAGAGAGGGGGAGAGAGAATCCTAAGCAGGATCCACACCCAGTGCAGAGCCCGATGTGGGGCTCAGTCTCACGAACCCTGAGATCATGACCTGAGCCTGAGTCAAGAGTCAGACACTTAACTGACTGAGCCACCTGGTGCCCCTACTTTTGTCTTTTAATATTGGGATTTACCCTTTTAGGGTCTGCTCTTGATAAAATAACAGCAAGTTTATGTGATCTTAAATCAAGACTTGACTCAAGAACTTGTGTGGCACCAGCTGTCTTTGCTGAAAACATGAAGCTCAGAGAGGACACTCATCACTTGGGTAAAAATATTAAATTTTGTTTAAATATATAGGTATACACCCAAAGCCTATTGGAGGGTGCTAATAACCTGAAACATGTTACATATATAAGATAAGGGTATCTAGGCTTTATTCAGTACTAATCTGATGTCAGTGAAAATTGTGGGGAAATAGGTAACTTCTTACGGGTGACTTGTATATCATAACTGATTTTTCATGTTCTCTGCCTTTCCTTTAGTCAACTATATTCCCCAGAGTTCAGTTGATTCGCTCTTCGAAGGAACATGGTACCTAGTCAGAGTGGATGAGAAGCACAGGAGGACCTATGCCCGGCGCCCCTCTCCCAGTGACGGCACTCTGGGGGAAGGAGTAGGACTTGTCCATTCAAGTACAGCCACTGAGGTAGGTAAAGCGCGTCGTGTTTGCTCTTGGCCTCTGACAGGGTAAGAAATTTCCATCCCCAGATCTCAGGGCTTAGGGGACCTGAGACTGAGCCACTTAAAGGAATGTCTATAAAGCAGAGTCCTTCAGAGCAAGGGATCTGGCACTGGATTCCCGCTGTGCCATTTTCTTAGTCTAATTTCTTAAATTACTAGCATTTTTAAAACTTTTTTAAAAAAATTTTTTATTTATTTAATTGCCAGAGAGAGACACAGCGAGAGAGGGAACACAGGCAGGGGGAGTGGGAG